AAAAAATGTACACGTGAAAGGAGCTGTCCTAATTGTACAGAGGTTCTGGGGCAATGTGGGATTCATGTAAATGCAGGGAAAACAAATGTCCTACACCAGCCTACAAGATCTGTCTCTTCTAAGAGCTAGGTAACATGGAAGATCTAGCTCAGGTATGTAGGCTGGACAATGCGTTGTTATCTTACCATACAGAGGGAAGGTAAAAAGTACTGTTACAAGAATGATATGCATTTGAAGGAGGATTGCAGTAAGAAATCTCTGTTAGCACAACAATACAGTGAGGATAGGGTGCCTCACAAATTACAAATTTCAGCTGGATCAGAGTGGAGATATTACCGGAGAGGGAAACTTGAAAGGTAGAGAGATCACAAGTGCAGCTCGTCTCTGAACTACCGCAGAAGTTATGTTTAGAACTAGAATAAATCTGAATTTGCCTTTGAATATTATTTAGGTGACAAAGGTGATGAATGAATAGAAGCATGGAGGTGCAACCTCATCTCCGAATTTCATTTTGATGGTTTCTAAATCTGGGAATGTTCGATAAGAACAAACAAGAGTGTCTGTGCATACTGCCTGTACACTGCAGACAAATGTAACCAAGAGGCAAAAGAGAGTGGGGTTTTAACCCCTAGAGGTTGTATTATTTGTTAAACACAACAGGAATTTTAATTATTTTCCAATTAATAAATGTATACAGACTGCACTGACAGAGTATTTATGTCTTGGGAGCTAGAGGAAGAATATACAGATTGTAATGACAGCATAATGAATGTAAAATCATAACAGTTTGAGACTCATTATACATAGGTAAGAGTTCAGTATAGTTAAGAATACCCATGTATTCTTGACCTTTCTGGGAAATACAGAAATGGTGCTTAGATGTGAACTTCATTATGGTCTCCAGTGAGACACAGCCATTCATTTTTTAACTGATTAATTTGGGTTAGTGTTGATGAAAGACTTCTTAGGACTAAATATGGAGATCTCATGGGCAAGTATACTGTTTTATAAGCAGGTATCACCTGCCTAACTAAATGCTTACAAGTAGCTATTTTGTCAAGTTATTCTGTATACAAAATAATAATTAAGTAGAAAATGTAAAAATTGTGTTACTCCATACATCGAACTTGGCTTTTAGTCTTTGTTATGAAACGTGCTTCCTTAGGAGCACAAATACAATTAGAAAACCATCATCTTGAACAGCAAATAGACAGAAGCATGTAGGCTGTCCTTCAGTGAATGAAAACTGATAAAGAAAATGGCACCTATGGGATTATCTAATAAATGGTTTCTTGTAAACTATAAAAGGTAGGAACATGTAAATCATACACTGGGCAGTCCTTCAGAAAAAGTATCTGGATTTGTACAGACTGGGACCATCACTGGGAGTTTCAGTCTAAACAGCAGGGTCTGGAAATGACAAGAAATAGAACAGGTTTTATTTCTAGACATTAGGCATGGTGTTTAAATCATTTAGTGCAAACTGCTGTGCTGTTCTGTGCCTCTTGTGTGAATAAATGGACAACAGAAATAAAATGGCTTATTGGCCATTCCAGCAGGGTGTTTTAAAATAATAAAGTAGAACTTTTTGCAGCTTTCTGTATATGCTTCCTAGTGAAGTGGTACATGCAAAATATGATAAATTAGAATTTTTAGCTTGAATTAGAATTGGTTTACTGTATAGAGAGAAATTAAGGAAAATAGATAATGTGTTTATAATACAAAACTCTGAAATAATTTCACTGTTTAGAAAAATAATAAAAACTGTGAAATTATTACTTCATTTACACCATGTCTCTTGGAGCATGTAGAATCCAACCAGGTGTCTTGTATTAATTTGAGTAGATGGGAGTGATAAATTTTCAAAGCTCTGCTGACCTTGTAGTAGCTATTGCAGATCGCTGTACCTGAAAATCTTCTCCCTTTCCTTTTGTAGATAATTTTATCTTTGGCCAAAGGTCAAAATCAGGCTGCTCGATACGCAATTTCAAATTAAAAGCTGTAATAACAGTTCAGTAAAGTTCTGTCATTCTGCTGTGTAAAGTGATTATACATAACTATATGATTAAATTTTCTATTTAATTGTCTTCATGTGTTAAAGGAGTCTTAAAATACCCTATGCCATTGTCAGAGTAGCATATATAAATACATTTTATAACGTAGATTTACTGATGTCTGTAAGGTTTGGGCTGTGTTTGCTTTTAAATAGAATATTTTTCATGGCACTTAACTCCAAAGTCTTGTCTTAATGCAGTACTTGTTCTGAAGCAATAAGATAAATTTTTAAATAGATGTGTTCATCTTTTGATGTTGAACTCAGGTTTCTGAGTACTCCTAATAGAATAATCTGTCCTACAGAGTTTACTCATATTTTCCTGGTTTATATCATATAATTGTCTAAACACTACTGTTACAAGGTATGGATATAACAGTATCAATACAAACAATACTTCTAAAGATAAATTTACTCATGATGAGCTACACTAGAAAAGCTAAAATAAAAGTTTAAAAAAGCAAATTTTGTGCAGAAAGGAGATTTTAGTATAAATAAGGAACTGTATCTTATTGTTAATAACACTAAGTGTATAAAAGTTGAAAGTAAAACCCAATTTCTGAACGGATAGAATGGAAAAAAATCTGCCAGATTTGTTCATGTATGCCTTTCTGCAAGGGGAAAAGTCAAGAACAATTAATCTGATAAAATTTAATTTAAGTCTGTTCAGATTTGTTAAAGAATTGTTTAAAGATTTTACTTGAGTTTGAACTCACTGGTCAAACATATATAGGTTTTATATTAGACCTGTTTTTTCAGGGAAAGCTTATTCTTCTGTGAGGGGATATGTGCAGGTAAGGACCCGTGTTGAAAATCAAACATTGCGAGTCTGTTATTAAGTACAATTTTACTTGGAGAGGTAACGTGAGGAAGACATCCTTAGTTTGGCTGCACTTTTACATAATCTGCCTTGTTGAATGAATGGAATTTATTCCATATTTAATATGAAATGTAATTTCCTGGGAAACTCAAACTGGAAGACAAAAATCCATTAACCTGGACAATGTAAATCATTTATTTTAAAATGTATTACTAGAAGCAAAGGTGAACTAAAAAAACTTTCTCATTGGAATCCATTTACTCAGTTGCTCATATACAGCATGGTAGTACATGCTAGTATGTGTTTAAAGGTATAATACAAACTTCAGTACAAGCTGATGAGGTGGCAGCAGTTGAGCCTCGAAAGAAATCTTGGAGCTTCAGCTTGCTGTGCCTTTTCACTTGACCTAAGTCCCTTGACGTGCATCTTACCTGGGATGCTACAGAGAAGGGCAGCAGAGGACTGAGAACACTGTATTTGAGGCATCTCCAGCTTTCTCTAGCCTGAAGACTTTAGGAAGAAAACTTGATGTTCCCTAGAGTAGGCCAGAACACAAACAATGGGGGCAGCAGTACATAAAGGGAACCTTTGTAACACTGGCAATATACACAGTAAAAGCATTCAAAAGCATGATATGAGTTAAAAGATTGTATGTAGGAAGCTGGGGCAAAGAAACAAACCTGTTGGGCCTAAACGATGACTCCTGCCAACATTATTCTTGTGCTCATGTATTCACTTTTATTCAGGTTTCTTTACTGTGCCCTTTACTGATGGTTGAGTGCTTGGCATAAGCCCTGCCAGCACATACAAGTCTTTCAGGGAGCAACACTGATCCTCTGTGTCAGAAATCCTGCTTCCTCGGTGCCCTAAGCAGGTCATGAGCGAGTCTGATAGCTGTCCAAGCAGCATGGGCACAGGTTAATGATTACCTTGTCCAGTTTCTGGCCGTTCTAACACAGCCCTGTGTGGCTGCTGGATGCCATCCAGTGAGCAGTTTTCCATTCCAGGAAGCTGTGGGTAGCTGTGACGAAGCACAAATCACAGCTATCTGTGCTTGGCCTGTGCAATAACAGCCCATGGTTGAAAACCAGTCAAAGATAAAAGAAACCCAGGGATTTGGCAATGCTGTTTACACTGGTGTCTGACATCTTTGCTGTTCATTAGGGCACTTGGCTAAACATGCTAAACATTTTTGTGATCATAGCTTGATATTTCATTAATACTAATGAGCCAAGTTTATGCTGTGTGGAGATCTACTGTACAAAAAAAAAAAGTAAAACTAGTGCCTGTTAATTAATGTTATTCCAGCTACTAATTTAGTGCCTGTTTCTTTGATATAATCTGTCTAAATTCTTAGCTGATTATGCATAACAGATCCAACCCATTTGTTATAACTAATGAAGTCAGGGGCTTCTTAATGGTAACAAATGTCAGCTATTAGATTTGAACCTCTGTCCTTCTACGTGAATTTTGTGGGAGGTTCTTTAAACTCAAGGCTTCAATGGGGAAAGAGAAAACACTCCCAAAGTAATATGGAGACAGATGTGACCTATACAGTTCTGCACACTCTTTTTCTTTAATATTCTTTATTACTGTGCTGTCAAAATATATTTAATATCATGTAAATTCTGATGTAAGAGAATTAGATAAGTTCTATATCCAGTGAATGACTTCAGTGTTTTGGAATAGTGAAGTCTTGTAGAATTAAGTTGCTGGCCCAGCATGCCATTAGCTTCAGATTATTAATGCAAATTTAAGTACATTAGCACAGTATTTAATATAATAGGGCCTATCCTTCTTCAAAATTCCCATGACTTTGATGAAAAAAGCTGTCAAAGAAAGAGCTTAGTAGTGGCACATATTTAAGTTTACATGTTCCCACACAGGAAATCTCTTAATTACTTATCGACTGCTGGATTGGGCAATGTTGGCAAGGTGAGAGTCAGCTGTCCCAACAATTCCTGTCATAAATCAGTGTAGTAAACATCTTTTTTTCACCCAAGCTAATGGGCATGCCCGTATGGTTTGCTGTGCCCTCACACAGTCAGGGGAGAGACAATGTGTGCAAGGATTTTTTGGGGAAGAGGCCTAAGATCCTCATCCATTTCCATTTGCTCTCCTGCTAAGGGACGTTTATGTTCCCACTGCAATGCTATGGCTCATCTGAAGAACCAGGAAGATGGCAGTATTGCACAGAGCATAGCAATAATGGCAGCACAATGGTAGGGCAACAGAGGATGGAACAGAGGTGGGTGGTTTGAGATTTACAGTCTTCTAGATAAGTCTTAAACTTAACCCTTACTATTTTCTTGTCCACTTACTCAGTAGGATAGCTTTGGGTGTGGGGAAGAAATCTTCAGAAGTGACATAAACTGTAGTTTTGACCAGTGCCAAATGCAGCAATATGGCATAACTTTGGCAGGCATGATTTCTAAATCTAAAAACTCCTAGAGTGCTAAAACAATAAAATAAAAGATGAAAGGGTTTACAGCTGCTGTGTGTCAGGTTCAGCGTTGTCCTGGGTTCAGCAGTAGCAGTCATTTTTCTCAGTCTTAGTAGCTGGTGCAGTGCTGTGTTTTTGACTTTCAGCCTGGGAACAGCGCTGATAACACCAATGTTTTTAGTTACTGCTCAGTAATGTTTACTCTGACCAAGGACTCTGAGTCTCATGCTCTGCCAGGGAGGAGGGGAAGCAGGGAGGAAGCAGAGACAGGACACCTGACCCAAACTAACCAAAGAGGTATTCCATACCACAGCACGTTATGCCCAGTATATAAACTGGGGGCAGTTACCCGGAAGGGTGGGATCACTGCTCGGATCGGGCTGGGTATCGATCGGCGGGCGGTGAGTGGTTGTATTCTCTTCCCTTGTTATTTCCCTTATCATTATTATTATTGGTGGTAGCAGCAGTGGTTTGTGTTATACCTTAGTTACTGGACTGTTCTTATCTCAACCCATGAGAGTTACATTCTTTCGATTCTCCTCCCCATCCCTGCGGGGGTGGGGGAGCAAGGGGGCTTACATTCATTCAATTCTCCTCCCCGTCCCTCTGGGAGTGGGGGTGGGGGGGAAGAAAGGGGGCAGGGAGTGAGCATGAGGGCTGCGTGGTTCTGATTTACAGCCTGGGCTTAAACCATGACAGTGTGTAAATTTGAAATATGTCAGTAAGAAATGCAAAACTATCAGTTGTACAGAACTGAGTTATCAGCACAGTGCAGCTCAAAACTGAGAATTGAAGATGACAGACATGTTGATGAACTTTTTTTGTGGCCAAAAGAATCATTTCTAGGATAGAGAAACAGAATATAAAGTAGTCATATGATATACTAAGTATCTGATCTTCAGGAGCATACTTTTTTTCTATGCCTATTTATTTCAGGTGCTAATTGAGGGTAAAACCAGCAATTATTGTGGTTGATTAGCTAGAATCAGAACAGGGTTTAGCAATGACAAATGCCAGAAATGTAAGAGCTGCCATATTTGTACATATATGGGGGTTTTCTGGACATTCAGACCACATCTAATACCAAATGAAATTAGCTCCAAAGTCATTCATCAGTCTAGAGATGAAGATGTTAGTGGGTTTCATGAATACAAGGTCACAATATTTTAGGTAAATCGTCTATCACCGAATGTAGTTTTGGGGAACCCAGTAATATTGGAACACGCAACTCCACTGAATGCTTGTCTTATCTTGTTTGCAATTAAAACTTACCCAGTAATGCTATTGCTTAAAAATGACCTGCACTAACAAAGGAAGTAAAATATGATGGAGTTAGTTCACTCTGGGTGCTGCAAGTTATGCTGAACAGCTTAGATTTGATCCATGCCTATCTTGTAAACAGTTATTTTTGTAACTTTTTCAGATAGGGGAATAGGCTCATTTCTTATACATGCTCAATTTGCTTCTATTTTTTCCTCAGTCTTATGTCTAGAGATAGTTGTTTCAAATAATACAGTACCATCACTCTGTGATAACATTTGAGCAAAGTTTTCTCAAGCAGACATACACAGCCAGCCAGGGCCCACAAGTGAAAAGATGATGGAAAAAGGCAGCAGCAGCCTCACACTGACCCTAACACTGGCAAGTCTGATCCTTAAGATCACTAAGAAAAAAAACTACACAGCATATAGACACATCTCCAAATGTCATTGCAGGTAATTCTTGAAAGAAATGACCTAACAGCAAGTCTCCAGGAGAACATCTGCTTCAGGAGACAGGATGCACAGATAGCAGAATCTGAAGGAAGGAGCAGCCTGGTATCCTGTACTAGCATTGGAAGCCTGTTGTGTCACTTCAAGCACCTGACATTACAAAAGAAGCAAAAAATACCAAGAATATTGAATTACTAGGAACTGAAAAAAAGAACTTTACTCCCCTAAGACTCCACAGTAATACTGCAGTCTTTCAAATATCAGCTGTCTAACAGATGTGGTAGCTGGAGCATGCTCTATTAGAAGAGGCTTCATAAACTTTGGGGTGTCTTTATGTACCCTTTTCTTTTGCATGACAGTGCAAGACCCAGTCAAAGCAGAAGGCTTAATCGAAATATGTGAGGAATCCAGAAGCAGAACAATTTTTGTACATAAAGATGTCCTGGATTCCAGAGTCAGTTTTGATGAAACACTTTGAAGAGCAGTCCTGTCATACCATGGTTTGACAGATACAGCCATAACATACTCTGTGACATAAGCTCTCTGCTGATCAGTTCTTTGCAGGATGATTTAGTAGCACAGGGGAAAAGAGGAGATAAAAGATACTTAAGATAAATGATACTCTAACAGTGATTGTTGTTCTTTGAGATGTTATGTTTAGAATGGATTCCAGAATCTACTTCCCAGTTCATTAGGATGTAGGTGGTAAGGGAAACCTGGGAGATTTTGGCTTTCCAGAGTTTTGCATCCTTACAAGGTAGCAGAAACTGGCACTGGGTACTTTTGTGTGCTAAGTTGCTGTTCTGGGGTCTCCAAGCTTGCTCAGATGAGGGACAGAGGTCCTGTATAATAGAAGTCATATTGGCAGCAAGATCTTCAAGCACTACAGCTTTTCTAATGTAAAGATGATAAAAAATGTGGTGCACGAGGCAACCTGTTTTCAAGAGGAAAATGTGATAGAAATTATCTACCATAAGAAAGGCAAATACAGCATCTAGTGATTTAACAGTAGTAGAAGACAATTATGCACCTGAAAACTTCATTCTGTATTTGACCACTTATTACTGAAGGAACCCAAGTATAGAGAAAAACTGTAAATGGGTTTCAGATTTTGTTTGCTTTGCCAGAGACATTCTGAATAGTAAAGACCTGATGCAGCAAATATCCTCTCAAAGGTGGTGCAAGGATAGATTTAATGATGTTTGCATGATAGCTCGATATTAAAATAAGGTTAAAAATAGAGAAGAATAATAGCTGCTCTTTAAAAAAATTCATTTAGTGTGCCAAGTGTGTCTAAACCCATGTGTAGTGCTGAAATATTTGTTTTCTAATAGGTGTCTATGAATAAATGAGGTACAACTTTCACAAAACAATGTCAGTGTTAAGCTTTCCTAAGGAAATAACTAAGTCCATCTTACGTTGTGGGTTGTTTTTTAATTCTTTTTTCAAACCAAGTTCAAGTAAAAGGACATTAAAACTGTAGTTGCAATATTTCTGTGACTGTAAAGGCAGTCAGTGTGTTAGGGTGAAGCAAGTTGTATGTTAAGTCCTGTGGCCAAGGACACTCCAGGCAGAGCTAAAATCTAAACCCAGAAGGCTATTTTGTTGACAACAATAATCCCAGATTACGCCTGTCTGTTCAAAGTTATACAGGAAAACTTAACAGATGTGAGGCCTGTGAAAAAATATGGTTTTGAAAACTCATTCTGTTTCTGATCTTTCAAGATGATAAATGCACTGCTTTGAGTTTCAGTAAGGAGATTTTAGTGTTTCATTAAGGGCAAGGATGAACTCACAGGAGAATATTTTAAATGAACAACATTCCAATATGATTTTTTAAGACAAATGTTAATTTTTCATTTTATGAATACTTTCTTTCTAGAAGTTTATACCAACTTCATACATACAGAGGCTGGGAAAGGTAGTATTACTTGGGAAACATTTATAGATGAAACTTCTCTTAATAGGTACCAAGTTATTGCAGTATGTTATGCGAAGGTTCTCAAATTCAAATGCAAACCCACAGACAGAAGACAGGAGGACTTACAAAACCAAATTGAGGTACTGTACCACTATTTCACTCATCTAGGTAGGCTGAATGTGTAAACCCCTTTATATTTAGGGTCAGTAATGTATTTACTGAAGTGTGGTTCTAGATTTTCTGTTTCAAAGGTTTCTGGTTTTGCTCCTTTTGCTAGACATCTCAAAACATGAGCGTCAGTATCAGAAAACCGATCAATAAATCACCTTTACAGAGCAAACACAGAAATACTGGAGGAAGTAAACTTAGGGATAAATTCCTCCATTTTTCCAGATATTAGAGAAATATTTTTATTTGTGCCATTTACAGGCAATCTTGTTACTATGCAAGCTGCTGGAATTGACTGTAATCATTGTGCTATTGTATAAAGGCAGGGAATAATTTTTTCTTTGATGAATGAAAAGCAGCAGTTAGAGGGAAAATTGTTCTCTTTTCACAGGATGTTATTGACAAAGCCAAGGAAACAACAACTCTTAGGCCATGAAAGTGAATTTTTTAGGTTTGGAAGATTAATGATAAGACAAGGAATCCCAAAGCACTTCACACAGGAAGAGAGAATATTGCCTACTCTCAAAACATTCTTATTCTATGGATTTCCCTGAAAGCTCCTTTTAAATCATTATTCAAGTGACCAGAACGCAATAATTCTAGGAAAACAGGGACAAAAATCCTAGACATGTTGTCAAAATACTAAAAAAACACAGAGCAAAAATGAGTTGGATGCACTGTTTTATCCTAAGCAATGTGTTGATAGAGAAAATATTTCATTATGTCAAAATGGAATACAGTAATAATTGTAAAAATATAAATATATGCATAAATGTACTAGGGAGTCTTGTAAACATCAAGAAGCACACCCATTTTTTGTCACTGGAAAGAGCCTTCTACATTTTTATTATCTTTCAGTCAGGTTGTTAAGAAATATATAACACTACGTGTTTGCAGTTTGAAAACCAAATCATAGAATCATAGAATAGTTAGGGTTGAAATGGACCTTAAGATCATCTAGTTCCAACCTCCATACCA